GCTGTGTGGGTTTTTGTTTTGTTTTTTTTCTGTGTGGGTTTTGTTGGTTTTTTTTTAAGCTGTTCCAGATGCTGAGTTATTTAGTGTAAATCATACAATGTAATCTCCTAAATATTTTTCTAAGAGTGTCTATCTACTGAAATGAGTGGTTTTGATTCTCATAAACTACGATAGCACCTACCAAGTTATTTGAAGTGTTTCACGTTCTCATGAGTAAGGTCATAACATAACATGACACAGTGACAAGGCTCCCAGCAAGTCTGGCAGGCCTGCTAGATTCTCTGGACTCATTTCACACTACTTTTCCTGCAAGTCTAGCAGCACTGGCTAGGTCTCTTTTCAGTGTCTTCAAATTATTTTGTTTCCTCCAATTTTTAGACATTTTTTTCTGTTTGGAATGTTCCCTTTTGTTTTTCCCCTCTCCCCAACACCCCACACCCGTCTGTCACCTGTGTCTTTATCTAGTCAACCCTCTAGATTTCTGTTCAAATATTGCTTCTTTTGGGAAGTTTCTTCTGACCTCCTAGTCTAAATTATTTCCTTAATACTCCTTAATACCATATATCCCTTGAAACCATTTATCACAGATGTAAATCATATGTTTGATTGATTCCTTGACTACTATATGTTCTTTTTAAAAAATGTATTTTATTTGAATGAAATTTTACTAATCACATTGGGTTTCATTTCAGACAATCATTCACAGATATTAATTACCACTGATTGAGGCAATAAATTTATAATGTCTAAATAAATCCTTCTATAGGAGAAAGATGGGCAATCTCCTTCCATGTGATTAACTGCCTCTGAAAACCCGCTGAAGGGTCAGCTATGGATTGGTTCCAACTGGATGGAACACTACAACAATAACAACAACAAGTAAACCTTTATTGTATATTGCTATTCTCTTCACCCATCTTCTCTGTTTATTAACTCTTTCTCCCTATTCTCCCCCACATCTGTGTTTGGTCCATAGTGTATGTTCTGTCCCAGATTATACTCTGTTTCTTGAGGGTAGAGACTGTGTTTACTTTACTCATATCTGATACAAAGGTACTAAATAGATTTTTTTTAAGTGATTAAAAATGAGAGAAAGTGAAAACGAAGAAGGTGAACTGGGAAGGACAAGAAAGGAGGAATGAAGACTCAGCTGCAAGGGTAGAAGCCTAAAAACTATACAAGCTAAGATTCTCAGCAAAGCAGCAAACTTGAAAAACCACACTGACTTTCTGTTAAGGCTGATGGCAGAATAACATGATGATTAGAACTAATGTTACTGAACTGTATTTGTGAGACTATTGAAATGTCAAATGTTTTGTTACCATGATAAGTAGAGGTGGGAGAGAAGCAAAAACTGTCATCATGAATCAAAAATTTTCTTGAAAACCAAAATTTTACAGGTTGAGAAGGTGCTGTGAATCATAAAGTACGTTAATAACTACTGATGCTCATACACAGAGACATGTATACCAGATAAAACTCTCACCTGGGGGAGGCTCAAAGAAGGCTTCCTGCTCCTCCTCAATGGGCTCCGTGTCGTTGTGGGCGGTCCGTTTGTGCATCGCCAGTGTGGAGATCTGTTTATATGTCTTTCCACAGTGGTTGCAGTTGTATGGTTTGGAGTGAGTGTGAACAACGTGGTGTTTGTATAAACTGGAATATTCTGTAAACCTTTTGTCACATCCAGGGACTGTGCAAACATATGGCTTTTCCCCTAGGTAAAGAACAGCAATCAAAATATAAAATCAGCTTTCACATATGAAAGCCATATTCATTCCACAGACATCCTGCCCATTTTTAATATAAAAATAAACAGTGGCCACATCTCTTCCTTCCTGCCATAAGGTAGCATTTTAGAAAAGACTTTCTAACTATCTTTGTCTTGACTCAAAAGGTAGCATAAAAAAAAAAGTAGCATAAATCCTGACTCTTGTCCCAGTGTATCCAAGTTATCAACTTTCCTAATTTTAAAAGATAAGTAAGGATGGAAATATTACCCAGTTTAAGCATTGATAGAATGATTTTTCCCCTGTAACTATAACTGAAATAGCATACATGAAATAATGTTAATAATGACAATAATAAATGGAACTATTACTATAACTAACACAACTTACCCTAAGAACTTTAGCAACATCATTAAAAAGCAAATAACTACATACCTCAAATCTAAAAGGACATATATGTTTCATAATAAGTTCACTTGACATTTGATTAAAAGCTAGTAAGTATTCAATTAATAACAACCAGGCAGAGGGAAATGAATATTAGCTTTTCTACCTATGAAACAACCTGAGAACAATATATATAAGCAGCATATACATATTTTAGAGCTTTTTAATGACTGAAAATGTCAAGCACATATTAATACACAGATTAAAAGTGTACTAAAATTTCATGTTCCAATTATTAGTGTCAACAATCTCACAGGCAATCTTGTGTCTTTTATTCAATACTCATTTTCCCCTTCATCATACCCTAAATTATTCTAAAATCACTCCTGGTATTACTTTGTTTCATTTGTAAATATTCCAGATTGTTCATCTGAAAGATGGATTTTTAGGAAATAGAATTCGAACAAAATTAATAATAAGGATTTATTATCATAAAATGTTTCCCTCACTCACTGCCCTTGAGTTGGAACCGACTCTATGGAGTTTCTGAGGCTGTAAATCGCACTGGAGATTAGCCACCTTTCTTCCCAAAAGTCACTGACGGATTAGAACTGCCCCAGCAGTGTGGCCTTTTGAGTATTCAGTACAACTTCCTCTTGACTGCACCACTAGAACTTCCTATGAAATATCTATCTAGACAGTGTTAGTATGTGTGCTGAAGGCAAAAGAAACCAGAATAGAAACTGGAACTGAACTATAGTTTCAAAGAATACTATAAACTACACTGAAGGCATGGAATTTTCTACATAGTATTTGAGTAAGACCCTTAGTGTTGACCAAAATGAGATCTGTATGTGTGTAGTGAAGAATTACAGATCTTCATGTGAAGCAGGAATGAAGCAATTCTGATATAATTTTAGATGTAATAAAATCGACTTGCATAAATGTGGCAATTTTAAGTCAGAAGTTTCAACAAAGAACAAACAATGAATGGGGAAGGAACATTGTGGGGACAGACTGGAACTAGACATTGTTTGAATCTTTGCTTTATAAAATTTATATATACAAGTATGCAGCTGTGAAGGACCTCTCAAGAGTACTGAAAAGCAACGACGTCATGAAAGCATGAAACAAAACCTTGAAAAATAGGAGACCAACACCAGAATTGGGGACTTTACCTGTGTGTATCCGCACATGATTTTTATAATTGGTTGCACTGGCAAATGCTCTCCCACATCCAGGTTCTGTGCAGTAGTAAGGTCTTTCTCCTGTATGTGTCCTAATATGTACTTTTCTGATATTTGACGTTGTAAAGGATCGACCACAGCCTTCAAAGTGACATTTAAAGGGCCTTTCTCCTAAAGATAGGAAGGGGAATAAATTAGATGGTATATAAATAAATTGAAACAGCTTATCCTTCAAGTCTTCTTAAGTTCGTGCTGTAGACTTAGTGCCATTGAGTTGTTTTACCATCCTTACAATCACTGTTATGTTTGGGTCCACTACTGCAACCACTGTGTTAATCCATCTCATTAAAGCTCTTCTTCTTCTTTTTTTAAAATTTCTTCTTTTTTTGGACCCTCTACACAGCACTGATGTTCTTTTCTAAGGATTAGTCCTTCTAACAACATGTCCAAAGTATGTGAGAAAAAGTGTCATCATTATTACTTCTACGGTGCATCTGTCTGTAGCCTCCATGATAGCGAGGAGATGAGACTTGGGTTGACTTATGAATAAAATTCTCACAAGAAGGATCAGGAACTCAGGTATAGCAGCCTGATTCAGTAATTGTCATTAGGTGCTACTGAGTTGCCTTTGAGAAGCAGCAGGAGAAGCAATACTAAACTGGGAATACATTTAGTGCCTTATGTTGGCTTCTATTACATGTGTAAACCTTGGTAAATAACTTTGTTACTTAAATGATTCCTGAAAATTCAGAGATACAATAGTCTTGACCCACTGTTTCAGGACATGGACTCTTTTGACAACTGAGCAAAATGCTCCTCAAATTGTCTCCTTCCAAATGAAGGACTCCTGGCTTCAATATGACCCTCTGTTCACACAGTACCTGTATGAGTTCTGATATGTTTCTGGAGATCTCCTGAAGTTTTGAAAGATTTAGTACAATTATCTTCTGAACACCGATATGGCTTTTCTCCTGTGTGAGTTCTGAAATGACTTTTTAGTCCATAACCTTCAAGAAAAATTTAAAAGAAATTTAATTCCATTTAATTTAGCCTTCTCAACATGCACCTTCAGATTATTATGTAAAAATATATTTTAATAAACATTCAAGAGACAGAACTAGGTAAACATAAAAACTATTGCAGAATCAAGACATAAAATACGAATGGACTAGAAGTCAGAAGGCCTGGTACCAGCCCTAGCTCTGCTGAATGTATCGCTGGGGAGATCTCATCCCACTGCTAAGTTCTAGGTTCTCATCTGTCCCTAAAAAAGCAAAAGGTGAAATGGGAAGTACAAAGATAGGCAGAAATAGGTTTCAAAAGAAAACTGAGAATGGAGCAAAAAGATTAGAGTAAGCAGGAACAAGAAGCAGAGAGGAAAAACTGAAAAGCCAATTATGCACTTTTCTGAGCCAGACAAAGGAGGCTTGTCTCGACTCAACCCTTACATGGAACCAAGAAATGAGGAGAATTCCTTTTTTTACCTGTGGCAAATGCTTTCCCACAGCCAGAATGCTCACACTGATAGGGCCGGTCCCCTGTGTGTGACCTCTCATGAACCTGTTAATAAAGCATAGACAAGTTTATAGCTTTTTTAAATATCCCACCAATAGATATTTCAAATATAGGCCTCTTTTTATTCCCTCACTGCTCAATTATTTTGTTGTCTAAATATTAAGTATTTACAGATAGAGTCTTAACTAAGGAACACTTGAAGTTTCCATTTTATTTACCGTGAAGTAGTCCAAAGTGTTGATATGACATATATACATGATAATAAGAAACAGGAAGAGTACACACCCATGTTTATTGCTGCATTATTCACAGTAGCAAACAGAGGAAAGAAACCCAGTGCCCATCAACAAATGAATGGATAGAGAAACTATAGTATATTCACACAACAGAATACTATGTGCACTGAAAATCAAGGAACTCATAAAATATTACACAATATGGGTGACCTTGCAGGACATTATGCTGAATGAAGTATCTTAGTCACAAAAGGAAAAATACAACATAATGCCACTGTTATAATGGGAGTTGGGAGGAAACTAAGAAAAGAAAGTATAAATAATGAATACTGTGTTGAAACAGATGAGGAAAAGAACTGTTTAAAAGGAATATATGATGAGGAATTATATGTATGACAAACCCCAGAATAAGAAGTACAATGCAAAGAGGGCTTGGGGGGTGGGGGAAAAGAGGAAGAGGAGGAGGGAGGTAACTATCCAACAGTGAATAAATATTTTAAAAAGTGAACTGGGGGAGGGAGAAGGGAGGGTGGAAGGTAAAATGTGCACAAATGAATTAATGAAAATTCAATTCGGTAAACTTTCATTAGAATCACAACTAAAATAAAAAAATTATTAAAGAAAAATAGTATCTTGTAACTTAAAAAAAACAACTAGGAAGCTTATAGGAAAAGGCTGCAAATATGATGCTAAGAGTGTGGGGACAGAGAGGCCTAGATTTGTTGCTATGTTCTGTCCTGTTAGAATCTATCTATAGCTGACCCTCCAGGGGGTTTCCAGAGGCTGTAAATCACATGGGAGGAGGCTGTCCATCTTTCTTCAGTGGAGCAGCTGAAGGGTGAATACACATGAGTGTGAACATGTGTTTGTATCTTGAGAAGTGCGGGGGAAGGAGACTACTTCAGATTTTTCATTATGAGTTTTGCAGTAGGGTTTGAATACCATAAGTATATCACAGTAGCATTTAATGCCCTAGACACTCTTAGACAGCACTTCTTTTACATATACCTTAAGATGATGAGCTGTTGTATATAATTTTCCACAACCATCATATTCACATCGAAATGCTTTCTCTCCACTCTGTTGAGACTTAGCAGTTACTCTTGTTGCATGTCCCTGTAAGACAATCTGAATAAAACATAAAGTACATAAATAAAATGTATTTATAAAGAAATAAGACTAAATTACTATTTTCAGAATAAAAAGACTAAGGTTTGTTCTAAGTGGTATAGCACTGGTCTGTGCACTTTGCCATACAGAGGTAACTTGTTGCTGTGATGCTAAACACTGTGACACTGATGTGTCAAATGCAAGAATGGTTACCCATGGTGGACAGTTAGAAATAAACATCATTTGACCCAATAATTCCACTACTGGGAATATGCTCTAAAGAAACCAAAGCCATGACTCAACAGATGTGTACACACCCATGTTTATTGCTGCATTTTTCACAACAGCAAAGAGATGGAAGCTACCCAAAGCTCAACAACAACAAATAGAAAAACTATGATACATTCACACAATGTAATATTATGCAACAATGAAAAACAACAAACTCGTAAAGCATTACACAACATAGGAGAGCCTGGAGGACATTATGTCGAGAATGTACTACAAAGGACAAATGCTGTATAAAATTGTTACAAAATAGGGCAGACAGTGGTGGGGTAGGAAAAGACTGGATAGATTAACAAACACTGCAGTAGAACAGATGAGGCGGAAAACAGTCCAAAAGGAATATATTATTAGGGATTATACGTATGACAACAACCTAGAACAAGTGGTATACTTCTGTGTGTGCTGAGGGAGGCGGAAGGAGGGAAGAAAATGTGCATAGAAAAAAAACTACACATGAAAAAAAAAACTTATAAAAAAATTGACAGGCTCAGAAATTCAATGGAAGTTATGAGTCTGACTCGACTTGATGGAAGTGGGTTGGGTATTTTGGGAGATATTGAGATCGTCACATGTGTAGCTACGGGGGAGTGAGGATGGGGGAATGCTAACAACAATTTCTTTCTAAACCAGTTAAGAATTCAGTTTGTAAAAAAAAAAAAAGAATTCAGTTTGTGCAGGGAGAATGGTGCAACAATGAATGAATAGAATCCCAAAATCTCTGTAGATGTTCATTGAAATGAAAAATAAACAACCTAAATTTAAAAAAAAAAGAATTCAGGATTTAGCATGCCTATGAGCTCTGGTGTAGTCTAGTGGTAAGAAGCTGTGCTGTAATTCCAAAGGTGGTGGTGGTTGTTATATGCTGTCTAGTCTCTTGGGACTCATAGCGACCCTATGTACAACAGCCCTAAACTCTGCGCTGTCCTGTACCAATCGCACCATCTCCAATACACCCATCCCAACTGCCCCCAGTTACTGAATCAATCCACCTCACAGAGGGCCTTCCCCTCCTGCGCTGTCCCTCCACCTACAAAGCATGATGTCCCTCTCCAAGGACCGGTCCCTCCTTACATGTCCAAAGTATGTTAGACAAAGCCTCAGAATCCTTGCCTCCAAGGAGCCACTCGGTTTGACCCTTTCCAGGATGAATCTGTTTGTTTTCCTAGCAGTCCATGGTACCCTCAATACTCTTCTCCAGCACCACAGCTCAAAGGCATCAATTCTCCTATCCTCCTTAGTCATTGTCCAGCTCTCTGAGACATAACAAGTGATTGCAAAGACCATGGCCTGTATCAGACGCACCTTAATCTCCAGAGAGACACCATTGTTCTTCAGTACTTTGGAGAGGTCCCTAACAGCAGACTTCCCCATCGCAATACATCTTTTAATTTCCTTGCTACTGGTGCCGAGAGTGTTGACTGTGGAGCCAAGCAAACTAAAGCTGTGAACAATCTCAATCTCTTCACCATTCATCCTGATGCTACCAACTGGCCTAGTGGTGAGAATCTTTGTCTTCTTGATATTGAGCCTCAATCCATACTGGAGGCAGCAGTCCTTGATCCTCTGCAGCAAGTGCATGAGGTCCTCCTCAGTTCTGGCAAGCCGGGTTGTGTCATCTGCATAACACAGACTGTTGATAGATCTTCCACCAATCCTGACGCCACATTCCTCCTCATAGAGCCCAGCCTCCTGGAAAAACTGTTCTGCATAGAGGTTGAAAAGGTATGGAGACAGGACACATCCCTGATGCACGCCCTTCCCAATTTTGAACCATGCAGTGTTTCCTTGCTCTGTTCTGACGAATGCCCCTTGGTCCAAGTATCGGTTTCTCATTAGCACGGCCACAGTTTGTTATGATCCATACAGTCAAGCGCCTTTGCATAGTCAATGAAACATAGATAGATATTCCTCTGGCACTCCCTGCTTTCAGCCAATATCCATCTAACATTAGCAACAATATCCCTAGTACCACGACCCCTTCTAAACCCATCCTGGACTTCTGGCAGTTCTCTGCTGATGTGCTGTTCCAGTTGTTTTTGGATAATCTTCAGTAGAATCTTGCCTGCATGTGAAATTAATGAGATTGTTCTATAGTTTCCACACTCTCTTGGGTCACCCTTCTTTGGGATGGGAACAAATATAGATCTCTTCCAGTCAGTTAGCCAAGTGATTTGTTCTCCAGATTTCTTGGCACAACTTGGTGAGCACATCCAGGGCAGCATCTGTTAGATGAAATATATCAATTGGTATACTATTTATTCCTGGGGCCTTATTTTTTGCTATTTCCTTCAAAGCAGCTTGAACGTCTTCCTTCTTCACCATAGGCTCTTGCTCATATGTTGTTTCATGAAATTCTTCTGTGCCAAATCCTTTCGATACAGTGATTCAGTATATTCTTTCCATCTTCTTTTAATATTTTCTGGATCATTTAATATTGTTCCTAAAGCATCCTTGATTATAACAACTCGAGGTCTGAATTGTTCTTCAGTTCCTTGAGCTTAAGAAATGCTGAGCGAGTTCAGCCTTTTGATTTTCTGACTTCAACTCCTTGCACATTTCATTGTAATATTATACAGTTCAAATCCACCAGCTGCTCCATGGGAAGAGGACTGGCAATCTCCTCCCATGTGATTAACCACCTCTGAAAAATCCGTGAAGGGTCAGCTCTAGGTAGGTTCCAATTCCACCGTACTCAATAACAACATGAAAATTATTAGCAAAACCCTTCTGCAACAGAACTGCTTCACTAAATAAGACTCTAATCACTTAAAACCAGACCCAACAATAAAGGTACTTTTCCCCCCTAAAAGGTTTTTTTTTTACAAGTAGGATGAGGATCCATGGTAATATACCACTGAATTAGTGCTGGTTTAGAATTTGAGAAAAATCTCTAGAATGCCGAGAGACACAGTAAAAAATCAATTGGGCTTTTCCCTCTATACATACAATATTTGACAGAATAAAATCCTCTCCTCTTATACTGAGACTATTTACTTATAAAGCCTTTAAACTTCCAGTCTTTTTCTTCTCAATTCCCAAGAATCTGCTTTAGTCTAATTGGAATAATCTTTGTTTCTACTAGATTCATTTTATCCCACTTCCAATCAAATCTTTCTCCTTCTGCCCCACCATGGCAGACATTTTAATAAACACTTCTAAATGCTCTGTAAAATAGGTACACTTCACAGAATGATGAACATGGTCTCTGCCTTAGTAAAACTCTTATTTTAGCTAATGACTGTCATATTAATGAAAGATGGTGAGAAAATATGATAGTTGCTGTCAAAGGGATTCATGTAAAACTGTATGGGGAACAAAAGGAAAGTGAGAGGAGCTACGAGAGGTGAAATTTGAAGGCTGAGGAAAAGGGGAGAAGCAGAAAGAATAAAATGATGAAAGGTATAGAAGTGAATCTGAGAGAAATGCAGAAATATTTTTTTTACATAACAGAATAAATCATATGAATAGAAAAGGAAGTTTAAGACTAAATCTGGAAGAGCTATTGGGGCCACTCTGATGTTTGAGACCTGATATGAAATAAAAGTTAGTTATTAAAATTTTAAAATAGGGGTCCATTAAGATAATTCTGTTTTAGAAACAGAACATGGATAATGGTGTAGAACAAATTAGAAAGACAAAGAGACATGGAAACCAGAAGTTTGTACAATATGCAGGAAAGAAGCAAGGAAAACCCGCTTAAAACAGTGAGTGACTACGCAGTAGAAAGCAATAATGCTTCTATGGACTCTTAAGTACAAAATGGACAGAACATAAAATTCAGAAACTAAATTTGTGACTAATACTGTAATAGGTAAATATGCAGATTATATCGTGTTGGCTATGTCAGTCGTCAAAATATAGTTTAAAGATTTTAATTTTTAACAAAGGAAAAAACCTGGCATGTAATTCAGAACACCAGATCACCACACTAAGCAGACGTCTTTTTCTTACAGAAGGACTCATACTACCAACCTTTCAGTCAGCAGCCAAGTGCTTAACTACTGCACCACCAGCATTCCTCATGCCAGAAAATTACTTTATTACTATTTATACTGAATGTAGGTCTAAGAATTAAGGGTCTGAACTCTGCCATAAATTCACCATGTTACCTTGAACAAGTTACACAGTGCCTGTTTTGTTTATATGACAAAACATCTTGATAATGAACATAAACTATATAAATATCTGTGTAACAAAAATACACTATTGAGCGGGTTTGAGCTTCTTTACAAACTTCTTTTTCAAGTGTCAAACCCCTCTGCCACATGAAATCTTACATAGCGTTCCACTTCAAGACAGCTGTAGGCCTGAGGAATTATTAGCACATATGCATGACCAGGGAGATTAAAGACGGAAAAATATAAGCCTACTGAAAAAATACAGGGAGCTCTGGTGGTGCCGTGTGTAGCAAGGTGTGCTACTAACCCAAAGGTGACGCCTCTCTGGCAGTTTTAATCCACCCCTGCACCTCAGGAAAAAGATGGGCAATCTCTTCCAAAGTGATTTATAGCCTCAGAAAACCTAGTGGAGGGTTAGCTATGACTTGGTTCTGAGTTGATAGCAGTAAGGTAAGAGAAAGGTACACTACTGTCCATGGCTTGATAGCAATGAGGTAAGATAAAGATACACTACTGTCCACAACTATACCACCCTCAATGCGCCCGATCTCATAAGCTAAGTAGAGTTGGCCTGGATAGTACGTGGATGAGAGACTGTGTGAGAATATTAGTTGCTGCAGGCATTAAAAAAATTTTAAAAAGCTACACTATTAAGAAAAATATCAAGTGTCATCTTTGCTGGAATTAGAACACAGAAATCTCTGAAAATACTCTTAGTCATCAGTATCTTTTTTTGGTCATAAATGAAAATGTGTTCATGTATATACAAAAGTTAGCGTTGTTTCTTTTGTTGAATAGGTGTCTTGGATAAACCATACCACACAAGGAAGATTACTTAGTGTAACTTGAAGTCTATATAGCCATTGTGAAGGAGAAAGATACATAGACTGAGTCAGTTTTGGCAAACATAGCAACAGGGAGGACTGCAGCGGAATTTTCATAGTGGTTCCATTCGAGTGGCTGGTGACCCATCTTGCATCATGGCAAAGAAAGGCTCAATCTCTTACTTGTCCCAAATAACCACTGATCTAATCTTTTTTTTATTTGGAAAAAAAAAGACTTTTTAAAAGCAAAGTTCACTTGTTCAAGATCAAAAGCTAGATTAAAATAAAGAAGACAAATATAATGCCTATTTTCAGAGAATTTGCCACTTTGGCCACAGCTCTAGCTAATCAGAGAAGATGGTGCAGGTACAGGCTGGCCAGAGACCTAGGACTTTTTTGGCTTGGCTTAAAAAAAAGAGGGAAATCTTGAGTTGGTTTTGTTGGCAAAATACAGATAAATCATGAACTGCCTAATGAACAAACACTTCTTAGAGGAAGTGCAATCAGAGTGCTCCTTAGAAACTAGACAGTAAAACTTTATTAAATGTAGGCAATCTGCAGAGAAAGCCTTCATGGTTGGAGAGTACAGGGTCAGCCCTAAAGAGGAAAACCTTCAATGAGATGGACTGCTGAAGTACAACAACTAGTTTAAGCAGAGCAGAGATTTTAAGGATGGCACAGGATCAGGTAAGCTCTCGTTCTATTGTGCACAGTGTTGCTATGAGTCAGAGTCAACTCATGGCACATAACAACAACTGGATCCAGGGTGGGCATGTGAATCAAGGTCAAGTAAGTGATAGGGCTGTGTGTAGCCCAGAGGGCATCCTTGTACAAAAAAAGCATTTTACAAAGATGGCATCAAAAGAGAAGTAGGCCAAAGCAAAGTATTAAAAACAAAAGACAAGGGGCTCTGGTGGTCTAGTGGCAAGAATCTGTGCTGCAATCTTGAAGGCAGGCAGTTCGAATCCACCAGATACTCTGCTGGAGGAGGAGGGGAAATAGCCTCCTGTGCCAGTTGGATCTGATTTGATGGTACACAACAAGGAAAATAATGATTTTTTTTTTTTAAAAAGCAATACAGAACCCACAACACACAAAAGACACAGATATTCCTGAAAGGCATTCAAAACTGAGATAATCTAGGGGAGCTCTGGTGGCCTAGTGGTAAGGAGCCGCAACTACAATCCCAGAGGCGCACGGTTAGATTCCACCAGATGCTCTGCCAGGGAAGGAGGGACAATCTCCTCCTGTACCAGTCAGATCTGATTTGACGGTACACTCACACAAAAATAATAAAATAAAAATTTAAAAAAACAAAACAAAAACCAAAAACCCAAAACTGAGATAATCTATATTAAGTGCAGGTGGCCAAGTGGTAAGAACCTACACTGCAATCTTAAAGACACTTAGGATTATTCAAATCCACCAGATACTCTGCAGAAGGATGGGCAATCAATCTCCTACCCTGATATTACTTCCTCTCAGACAACAACACTGAGTTCAGCTGGCTAATTATAAGTAGAAATATGTTAATGGCACCACAACAAGATAAAGGTAAATAATCCAATAGAAAAATGGGCACAGGATATGAACAGGCACTTCACCGAAGACGACATTCAGATGGCTAACA